ATCTGTGTGGACTGGGGCATCCGCAAAATTCCAGCGAACTCTTCTGACAGATTTTTGGGCTTGCAAGTTTCCTTTACAGATTGCTCCAGAGTACAAGATAATATCTTGGCAGATAGGGTGGTGGCACGGATTGCTGGATGGGAATGCCGCTCTCGCCTCTCCTTATTCGGGCGGGCATTGGTGCTAACTACCTCAGCCTTCTCGATTTTATGGTTTCCTTTGACGATACACGCCCTGGGAGGAGAAGCTTACAAGAAAATTAAGGGTGCAGCAACCAGGTATTTATGAAAACCAGAAGCGACAGAGGACCAGGGGTTCCTTTCCAAGGTTGCCTGGGAAGTAGTCGCCACTTCAAGGAGGAAGGGAGGCTTGGGGATTTTGGACCCACTACAGCAGAACACAGCCCTCCTGGCCAAATGGCCTATACAAGCAATGATGGAAGCCAGCCCCAAGGTCTGGATAGATCTAGCGGAATATATCTCGCGGAATATATCTTGGGGAATGAATGGGAACTGCAGGACCATTCGAGAGTCTGGATCTGCATGCTGCTGTCGTCCTTCTGCTCTCGTAAACCCAACTCGAAGACCTGGAGAAGCATTATGGGGGCATGGAATAAAGTTAAGCCATCTGATGATCTCCCCCCTAACTCCAAACAGGAGGTCTTAAACCAAGTTCTGTTTGAGAACCCACTGATTTTGAGACCTGATGGGGACTACTTTTCGGCTGAGGAGTCCGCAGGTAATTTCGGGCTTAATTGGATAAAGAAAGGAATTATACAGCTCAAAGACATCTCGGACGCGGAGCACTCTTGCTTCTTGGACATATCTCAGGTACGAAGGCGCTTACCACGGCTGCACAACGTTGCTAAGCACTACTCGGAGCTTACAGAAGCTATACCAAGGGCTTCGACAATGCTGCTTCAGCCGGATGTAGAGCATGCTGCGGGCACGTGGCTTCGGCCACCTGCGTGTCCGAACCAAATTCTGCGGATCCTGGGCCCAGATCTAGATTCAGGACTCAGAGTTCATAAATGGACCACACAGGTAGGTTCTGCTTCTTCAGGTAAGCTCACATTGGTAAACAAAGACGAGCATATCAGTGGCACTGAAGACATGGTGGAGGTGCGAGTGCATTACCATAACTTTAAGGGGAAGGAGAATGCCACACTACTGCGGAACTCAGATAGCTTCAGAGTGGAACGACTGTTAGTGGGTTGGAAGGGACAAGGGAAGCAGGGGATTTTCACCCCCCTGTACCAATACTGCCTGAAAGTGGGAGTCCAACTTCAACAGTCTAGGCTGAAGAAAAAGGCGGCGGCCCTGGCGGTGGAGAGGACAGAAAAACAGCAACTAACGGGGGTCACTGAGAAGTGACTCTGTAACTTCTGGAAGGCTCTCACGAAGTACCCGGTGCAGAAGCAGGCCAGCCTCATGTGGTTACAGTCGTTAATGGTGACAGCCACAACAATGTGGCTGTTTTCTAGGGGAATGGAAGTTCCAACCTAGTGTTTGCGCTGTAACTGGGGATGGGAGAATATGATCCACCTTTGGCTATACTGCCCACTATCGGACGAGCTACTAATGTGGTGGAAGAAACACTGGGAGAACTTAACTGGGCAAGAATTTGAATGGTCGGATTTTTGGATGATCACGGGCCTCCTCCCTGAGGGTATGCAGTATACTTTGAATTGGGATTATGTGGCCCTCTGCTGTAGGGGAATACTGATGCAGACTATTTGGGCAGCTCGCAATGCGAGAGTTTTCAGAGGAGAAGAAACCTCAAGGCTACAACAACAACGGCAGATCAAATTGAGCATCAGGAGGACAATCCGAGCTGACTGGCAGAGAATTTTTTTTATCTGGTTTCAACAAACCTGGGCCCGCAATCATAGACTAGCCTCCCTTAATCAGGAGGGACGCTATACTATCTGTACTTGGCTTTCAGACACGCATGATTAATTAGGGCCGTAGATAGGCCCGAGGCACTAAGGTTATTTTTGGTTGTTTGGAGGAAGTTTTCTTTTTTTGTCGTGGTAAGGATTGACTTGAGTAGTGGAATAGGGATTTCCCGGCCTACTACACATGAATAAATAGGGAGGAATTTTGGCTCCCCCCGCTTTCAAAGCTCTGCCTTTTACATTGTGCTTTAAAGACTATTTTTTTGGAAAGTGGCTATAGGATGGGACGCTGGACCCGGTTTCCAGCCTTTAGCAGAGAAGGCATTCTAAGCATCGGATGGCCGAGCTACGTTCGTAAGCAAACCTGGCTAAGGCTGTGTGGCATACTGCGTAGCCACACGGGCCCTGCAGGGCCCGTCCCGCACTTTCAGCCTAAAAGCCTAAAACATAGGGCTTACAGGCCCCGGTCGTTTCAGCCTGAAAGCTGAAAAACGAGGGCCTGCACGCCCTACTCCGTTTTCAGCCTATTCTGGGCCTTTCAGGCCCAAAGGCTTTTCAGCCTGCAACGGAGGGCCATTTTCAGGCCCTCATTGTGTTCGACCTACCTAAGACTCAGGCACGAAAACAGGGTTTCGGGAACAGGCCAGAAATAGCCTGTTCCCCACGCCAGCTCGAGCAGGAGCTGCAGCTGCAGCCCCTGCCTCCCTTCGACATTGGCAAGAGCAGCCTCCTGGACTGCTCGCCTGCAGTCAGGAGGCACACCCGGTAGTACATAGGAAGTTCCCATGCACTTCACGGGTAGGTAGTTGTCAGTAGGCATGAGTAGTCTTCAGGATTCGGCCGCAGCACTCAGGAGGAGCGCTGCAGTAGTCTTCAGCACTAGGCAGTAGTATTAGCGCTAGTAGTAGTCTTCGGCGCTGGGCGCCCATAGCCATAGCTGTAGTCTTCAGCGCTGGGCGCTATTAGGTGGTAGATCGTAGAGTTGGGAGAGATGGCTGGCGGAGGCCAGCGAGACTTACCTGTGGCGCCATAGCTCCAGCTCCATCTTCGAGGTACCTGCATCAAGGCACCAAGTTCACAGGTTAGTACTGGACACACAGAGAGAGAGAGAGAGAGAGAGAGAGAGAGAGAGAGAGAGAGAGAGAGAGAGAGAG